GCAGCCAAAATTTCATCCTTGGGATTTTATCCAGGACCGCTAACCAGTATGGGCTATGACCAAGACAAATCTCTGATTTAGCAACAAATAACTGACATTGAGCACCAATAATTTATTTATTTATTTACAATATTTGTATACCGTTTTTCTCACCCTGAGGGGGACTCAAAGCGGTTTACACATAAGTAATGGCAAAAATTCAATGCCAGTACAAACAATTACAATTATACACTACAATTAGACATAAATCAAATTTAAAAATACATCCATGAGCAATAAAACAATCATTAAAACAATAAAACAGTCTCATCCGTCGAATCGCTGTTCCAGTCGTCGTTCCGAAATGCTGCATACATTTACTTCTATTGCCCGAAGGCCTGGTCCCAAAACCATGATTTTAATTTTTTTCTAAAAGCCAGGAGGGAGGGAACGAATCTTACCTCATTTGGGAGTGTGTTCCATAGGCAGAAGGCCACAGCCGAGAAGGCCCTGTGTAATGAAAACTACCTTTCAGTCGACTAGGCCGAAGCCTGCATGACAGTGGCTGTCATCTTGGGAGGCAGGCAGAGCAGGAGGAGGAGTCAAGCTGGCTACTGATTGGGTATAGCAATTGGGGGAGGAGTCGGTTTAGAGAGGGAAAATAAGCTGCCAGTTTTGACAGAGAGAGAAGGGTCTTGACTTAAGACAGAGAAGGTTGTGATTTTAAGATAGGAAGTTACAGCAGGGATCTGACAGAAAAAGAAGAGCTTTTAGTGAGCCTTAGGTTTAGGGAAATAGGCTGAGACAATAGGCTAGTAGTTTACTGTGTTGTGAGAGCCAGTAAAAGAAAGATTTGTCTCCAGAGCTTACTACCCTGTGGTGGAGACAGATAGGGATCTGTTCTCCAGAGATACTGTGTCTAAAGTTAGAACAGTATGTTTAAGGAGTCTCACAGTTGTTAAAAGCTTTTCTGTCAGGGGAACTGTTTGTTCAAGTAACCAAGTTTCTGCACGCTTCTGTACCACTCATTCTGTACCATTCATTTCTATGAGTTGCTGTTAATATAAAATTCAATAAACTCTTTCTAGTTAACTTTCAACTAGTGTATGCCTCAATCCATCCGTTTCCTCAGAACTCATTCTGTCAAACCATTTTTAAAGTCCAGTCAGCTAGTGAGGAAGCCATAGAAGATCAAGAGCTCAAACACCCCTTACCTATAACGCATTCACACCCTTTGGTTCCTCAGGCCAGTAATTCTGAGGTGGTGGCGGCTAATACTACCAAGAACATTCGATCACTTGTATATACAACATAGGGCCGGCCTTAATTTTATTATATTGGTGGCAGCGGTGTGATTCGTTGTCCACCCTGCCCGGATAGCCTTTGATCTATATTATACCCTGTCTCTCGTCCCCGCCAGGCGCATCTGTGCTGTTGACGGGAGCGAGAGTAGGGCCTCCCCGGATGATCTTAGGTTACGAGGTGGGATGTAGGGGTGGATGCATTCGGACAAGTAAGCCTGGCCAGAACCGTATAGAGCTTTATAGGTCAAAACCAGCACTTTGAATTGGGCTCGATGAACTGGCAGCCAGTGGAGCTGGCATAGCAATGCCAATGACTTAGCCAATGCCCCAGCCTTTATTATCAATGGAGTCTGTAGGTTTTGTACCACTCCTATGAAATATCTAATGCTAGAGGTTTCCAGCCATCAGAGGGCCTTCACTCTGGCACATTGCCATGTCCTCCCATCTGCCGTATTGAAAGGTCATCACTGAAAGACTTCATATGCCGAGAGACTGTGCCCTTGTGACTCAGGACACATAGCGACAATGGAACATGTGCTTCTTCAGTGCCTGTTCTATAGAGATATTCGATCCTGTCTCATTTCGCCATGGCTATACAAACACCCAGGACGCTCTGGACAATTTTACATCTCCCTGCTACTTTCAGATACGAACTTGGCTATAACTTATAATGCCGCCAAGTTCTGCACAACAGCGATTAAAATCTGGCAGTCAATGACTAATAGCACAAGATAGTACAAGTCAAGATTTCATACTAGCAGAAAATTTGGATTATAGTCTTTTAATTATAGTATGGATGTTGCTCCCTCCTCTGTTTGACTGGACTTCCCTTCCCTGTACCACATGAACACCCCAATTCCCTCCCTTCAGACTCCCTTCCTTTTAATTCTATTAATTGTGTTAGGTTTTGATATACTCCTGTATATAAAATTAGATTAATTTAATTAGATGAAACCTGTTTTAGTGGTTTTATTGGTATTATTGTTGTAATGCAGAAACTGATTGTTAATTGTTTAATTGCTGCTATATTGCTTTTATTCTATTGTTATGTTGATGCCGGCATCGAATTGTGCCTTTGTAAGCCGCCCTGAGTCCCCTCCGGGGTGAGAAGAGCGGGGTAGAAGTAACCGAAATAAATAAATAAATAAATAAATAAATAAATAAATAAATATGGCTTTTGGCTTAGATTCTTGGGTTAATTGTCTTGATGTCCTGGGAATTATGCCCCTTTTAAAAAGTTTTAACTCTCTCGACCCTTAGACCTGATGTGTTTGTGTGGGGCTGTGTTCCTCTTCTCTTGAGCTGTTCATTGATGGTAATAAAGTGAACTTGAATTACTCCACTAACAGGAAGTAATGAAATTTGTTCTAGGTGTCTATATAAACTGCTACTGGATAGCATACTGCTCACAATGCACCAAACGTCAGCTGAGACACTGACTAGCGACTGTGACATATCAAAATACCATACACTGCTCCCAATGGCTTCTTTCATCATGATACTGGAATCTATGCAGGAGGAAAAGCCCAACAGATAAGCTTCATCAGCTCTCTGCTCTAGCAATGTAAACTATAACAAATGAAACACATTCAGCTCAGTGAAGCACAGTATCTCCTCCTCCAGGGTATTCTCATGATCCCAGCTGAAGCAGCCAACAAGGTTCTTGTTTAGAGACACTAGAGGGCAGTGATGTCTGCAATAGTGCAGTCCCATCGTGGAGGTTTACATATTGAAAGGTAAATTAAATATTTTCCTTTGAAAACTTTGGAAATTTAATGTGTTGTCGAAGGCTTTCATGGCTGGAATCACTGGGTTGCTGTGAGTTTTTCAGACTGTATGGCCATGTTCCAGTAGCATTCTCTCCTAATGTTTTGCTCGCATCTATGGCAAGCATCCTCAGAGGTTTGTTCAGAGGCCTGTTGGAAACGAGGCAACTGGGATGTGTATATATTTACAGAGTGTTGAGGGTGGGAGAAAGAACTCTTGTCTGTTTGAAGCAAGTGTGAATGTTGCAATTAGCAAGCTTGATTTGCATTGAGTATCCTTGCAGTTGTAGAGCCAATCAGTGAGGGTATTTGAATAGAAGTAGCCTGACTGTTCCTGCCTGGGGTCATGCCTTGTTTGGAAGATGTTGACTGGCACTTGTTTGCTATCTGGAATTCCCCTGCTTGGTGTTCTTTATTCACTGTCTTGATTCTGGTGTTGTTAAATACTGGTAACCACATTTTGTTCATTATCATATTTTCCTCCTTTCTGTTGAAACTGTCCACGTGCTTGGAGATTTCAATGGCTTCTCTGTGTAGTCTGACATGATGGTTGTCAGAGTGGTCCAGCATTTCTGTGTTCTCAAATAATATTCTGCATCCAGGTTGGTTCATCAAATGCTCTGCTACGGCTGACTTCTCTGGTTGAGTTAGTCTGCAGTGCCTTTCATGTTCTTTGATTCAAATAACATAAAAGGAACTGCAGACTAACTCTACCAGAGAAGTTAGCTATAGCAGAGCATTTGATGAACCATTGTTGTCATGTTCCTTCAAGTCATTTTATGGCAATCCTATCCTAGCATTTTTGTGACAAGACTTATTCAGAGATGATTTATCTTTCTATTCCTCCAAGGCTGAAAAAGTCTCCTATGTTCAATTACTTCTAACACATCTACTCAAGACTGTTTTGATCACTGATATTGTCTTGAAGTTAGATCTGTTGGGTTGCATTCATAAGAAAGTCAATTCAGTGACAAAGTCAGTACATGGAGCAGATATAAACCTTTAAGAAATTTGGGCAGGAAAAAAGGATGAGGATGGATGGAGCAGTGCAAGGGGAATCCGCTTGATGGCTAAATGTCAATAATGCCCTAAAGGATTTGAGTTTAGGCCTGGTTTGATAGAATTCCTCACATCTTTTTCTATTACTCTGCTGACCTTTCTGTCTAGAACAATGATTCCCACAGCTTTGACCTGCAGATGTTGTGATTCAGTTCCCAGAAACCCCAGCTAATCAGTCAGGAATTTTGGAAGCTGAAGTCTGAAATTGCTGGAGGACAAAAATTTCAGAACCACTGCTTTAGAGGAACCCACAAGTTACATAGTGGAAGGAACATTATGTACATAGACCAGAGATTTTCCTACTGGAACATGGCTTATTCAGACACCAAAGATGCAGTGGTGGAGTGGATCTCTGATTTGTATAAAATCAGAAATTTCAGATTCTGTATTAATCCAGTGTGGCATAGTGGTTTGAGCTGGACTGCAAGGCTGGAGAACAGGATTCAATTTCCAGCTCAGCCATGGGAACCAACAGGGTGGTCTTGAGTAAGTATCCTTCCATACTGCTGAATAAAATCCCATATTATCTGCTTTGAACTGGATTATATGGCAGTGTGGATTCAGATAACCCAGTTCAAAGCAGATATTGTGGGATTTTCTGCCTTGATATTCTGGGATATAGGGCTGTATGGAAGAGCCCTATTTTGCAAACTCTCAGTCCTAGAAAAACCCAGGATAGTTAATAAACAATAAAATTCAAGGTTATATTACTGAAATGCAAAGACAGGTGGCCAGGAATGCAACTCGGAATGGCATTGATAAAAGTTCATCACTTCACTGTTGGCACAATAATACTCCCTTCTGTAAGTAGTTTTCTGGGTGTTCTGTAAGCTGCAATGAGAAAAGACCCACCTTTAGATCAGTTACAGATCAAGATAGACCCAGAGACAGGTTTCATTAGTACAGTTTGTATTTTGAAAAGCAATATTTAAAAAAAGTTAAAACATAACATTTGCTTTTACAAGTTTTGTCTTTGTATTGCTTGGCCATTTTGACATATAAATTATTGCTTACTAGCTCTCATAAATACACAACACAATGATATATACAGAGGCCAACAAGCACGGAATACATTGGCAACCATGTTCCTGGTCAATCGGGAGCATTTTATACACAGCAGTTCAAATATCAGTGGGTAAGTACATAGTGTGGTCCCTGAGAAGTTACACAAATAACCTTGGTTTGGGCAATGTTACCATTAATGCAAGTTGACAGGAAGGTAGCACTTCAAAGACCAGAATTGACAGGACAAGTGCCTTACCCCTGTTTATTGACTGTATTCAATATCTAATAGTAGAAGAATACAAATAAATATGCTATGGAAATAGTCATTTAACTCTGCTAAAAAGGTTAATATGTACAGCTCACTTTGCTTGCATTTTTAATCCAACTATTTGATGTATGTATATTTGTATGTTATTCAGTTTGTTGAGTATTTATTTGCTTATGAGGGCCCAAAATATGTTAAATTGATAAAGTGACTGGGTTTACAAGTATTGCTGCAAAGTTGTAGTTTCCTCTCCTCTGCTTTAATTGCTGAGTCTCTTGATAGCTACAAAGTATAACAGCGATCAATTAACAAGAGGCTCAATCTGGATAAATTTATAGTGCAATCTAATTCATGTTTGATCAGAAGCAAATCCCATTATGTTCAATATGGGATTGCAGTTGTAGGTCCCAATGCTCTTAGTAGGGAATTAAGTAGGTATTCAAATTCCTTTTCTGAAACCCTTTGCTTGCCATGGCGCTCACCCAATTCACAATGTAAATGATAGGTATCAAAACACCAGCTACCAAAACACTGGTTCAGTCAATAGGCTTAATTCTTCCATCATGTTTCCAGAAGACAGTCCACTTTTTATGTCGTTTGTAACCTAGACTTGCTTTTATACATTTAAACATTAGTTTGATGTATAAGATGTGAAGTTATTCAGTCTCACAATTTTTTAAAGTGTTCCAGGAACTGGGGAGAAGTGGGCTTCTAAATATGTAGACAGCTGCCCATTCTTAACAGTGCCATCCACAGGTGGCTTTGGCTGCAAACTTGCAAAATTATTTTTTTTTTCCTGAGCCCAACCTTGGATTATGTTTTCTGCATTAAACAGACTACAGTCTGAGCGTATTTTTGAAGAAAAACTATTTGGTTCTTTAGCAGTAAGATGATATCTGAAGGTAATGGTCTTACATAGTTTCCTTAATAATAATATATTTAGTTTCGTTTAATACTGTCCCGCATATCATTTTTTTAAATGACACAAGGCATTGTTGCATCTGTCTCTCCAAACTGATGTGTTTGACATTACTCAGCAATAGATATATTAGGTACAGCTAAAAGTTTCACCTGGTTAAGTCTAATCGCGTCTGACTCTGGGAAGTGGTGTTCATCTCCATTTCTAAGCCAAAGAGCCAGCACTATCCATAGACACCTCCTAGGTCATGTGGCCAGCATGAATGCATGGGTGTGCTGTTACCTTCCCGCAGAAGCGGTTTGCATGTTTTCGAACTGCTAGGTTGGCAGAAGCCGGGCCTAGCAGCAGGAGCTCACTTCATTCCCTGGATTCAAAATGGCAACCTTTCGGTCAGCCAATTCAGCAGCTCAGCGGTTTAATCAACTGAGCCACCGGGGGCCCCATAGGTATATTATCCATATGTTAATCAACCATCTTAATCTTTGCATTTGCTATGTCAAAGTTGTAATTTTAGTCCATCTCTGGCATCATAAAATAGTTTATAACTTAATTTTGATTAGTAGTTTTGGCCAAGTGGCTTCCGTATTACCTTTGGGATTTATCCATTGCTTCATTGAACTGCCTATGGAGTGTAGAAAAAAACTAGTAAAATGTGGAAAGAATGAGAAAATGGTATAGGAATAATTGGTTGGTTTTTCTGGTGGAATTTAGAACACAACTAATCAGGGAAACCAGTTGACTCACATTATTACCTTACCGGGTTTGTGAGGGCAAAGAATTAGTGCATTAGAGCTATTTTTAACTGTAGAAGAAACAACATATTTTACCAGCAAATATGTGCCAGTTAATGTACATGCAAGGGGGAGAAAGCACTTGCAGGTAAGACTGACTACATATGTATTGTCAAAGGCTTTCATAGCCGGAATCACTGGGTTGTTGTAGGTTTCTCAGGCTGTATGGCCATATTCTAGAAACATTCTCTCCTGACATTTCACCTCTGAGGATGCCTGCCATAGATGCAGGCAAAACATCAGGAGAGAATGCTTCTAGAACATGGCCATACAGCCTGAAAAACCTACAACAACCCAGTGACTACATATGTTTTTCTGTTCTTCTGTACCAAGCTCTCAAATTATGGTCCGTAATTGAGCATATCATCTCGAGTCTGGAAAGGAGACGAATGTATTTTTCAAAAACACTTGGTACACTTTCTGGGGTAAACTGTAAGTTTGAGAAGAGTTTCTTATTATTTTTAGATTCCCACTTTCTAGAAAAACTTTCTTAAATTTGGTTTACAATGTTGTACAGGTTTAGAAACTGGCCTAATTGTCCCTGCAAACATTACTCTGCACGAGGCAGGCATCATGCAATCCCTTCTTTTGCAATATTTACTTCTATTCTCTGAAGGTCTGGTTTGCTTCTATACTTTTTAAGAGTTATTTACAACCGTTTTTTAAATAAAAGTTTGTGTGTGAGAGCAGAAATCATGCATACAGCCAAAATGTATAGTTCATCCACTGCAAAGGATATGTGCTGCCATTCAATTAAAAATATCTTGCCCCTCCAGTTAGGTTGCAGTAGGATGTTTAACAGAAAGCTCCATTCATTTGCTAGAATAGTTTATCTAAATTCCTACCAACAGATGCAAATATCTGAACAACAGATATTTATCAGTTTCCACCCCCTTTTTACCAGGTAAATGCTATTCAGAGAAATAATATAATATATCCATTACAGAATGTACAATAAATTACATTTCTGAAACATACATTGTCTTTACATTATATACCTGTACAGTATTTTCACAATTTTCATATTGGTGAAGCCAATCTTCACTCCATTGCCCCAAAATAAAATTTAAAAAATCTGCCAAACCCTACCACTTAAAGCTTCTTTTTAATATAACAACATTTATGAAGGTGATGCTCTAACAACCACAAATAACAAGGGGAAAGAGTTCAAATTATTCAGAAGATTTGTATTTTAGCTAAATCTTCTCTCCTGCAAAGCAATATACACACACTGCTGCTATAAAGGAGTATGTACAAAGTTACATATAAATAAATTCGGACCGTGAAATATATTGCCTTGCATCATATCTACCAATCATTCTGTGCAAAACTCAACGCTACAGCAATGAAGGTATTCTCAATTAAAATGGAAAATACATATATGATTTCAGGGAACATTAACATGTTGCTTTGATCTATAAAACTGAAAAAAGATGTCGAAGAAGGAGAATGATTCAGATGGGAATGTTCACTCCTGAGTCATGTTTTGAAATCCCAGGATTTACCTTTTGACACAAGCACCTGGACAAGGATTTGATATGTGTTGCATGGGAGCCAGGTGTCTCAAAGAGCTTTTGCTTTAACACTGTCATATTTTCCCAACTGGAAAAGTGTGCTGGTTGAAACGAAAGTGTCCAAAACCTAATGGCAGAACCCCTGAAATCACACGTGCCCTACCTCCCATGTTAGAATAATAGAAAATAGAGTTGGAAGAGACCACAGGAGCCATCTAGTCTAACTCCCTGCCATACAGGAAAAAAAAATCAAAATACCACCAACAGATAGCCATCTAGCCTGTTTAAAAGCCTCTAAGGAGCTTCTGTCACACTGTATCATATTACTTTTGTTAATAGCAGCATCCGTCTTTCAAAAAACGCTGACCACTCTTCATGATGAAACCCTATCTCACATCAGATTAAGGTCCAGCAGTCATTCTTCAAATTATGTCTAAGTCATTAAGTTGCATCCTAATGAGAGAAATATGACAAAGACTTTACATCAGGCTTTACCTGGGGAGTGGTTCCAAAATCTTTCCCTTGAACATGCTCCCAATTTGGTTTTTGTTGGATTTTAGCTTTTGTAGTCTCAACATTTTACATGTTGTATCCTGGACTCCATATTCAGCATTCAATTAAGAGGAGCCCCCAGTGGTGCAATGGGTTATACCCTTGTGCCAGCAGGACTGCTGACCAAAAGGTCAGCAGTTCGAATCCAGGGAGCGGGGTGAGCTCCAGTTTGTTAGCTCCGACTTCTCATACAGGGACAAGAGAGAAGCCTCCCACAGGATGGTAAAACATCCAGGCATCCCCTGGGCAACGTCCTTGCAGACAGCCAATTCTTTCACACCAGAAGCAGCTTGCGATTTCTCAAGTCACTCCTGACACACAGAAAAAAATTAATTAAATCGCTCCTAACCAGTAATACTATCTCCTTTAACTCTGAAGAGGAACTGGCAGAACACTCACACAAAGGTTTAAAATCAGTAGGGTTGAGGCTTGAATTAAGCCCCTGAATAATCTCTGAGGTCTTTTGGTATTTCAAAATGGTAGAATATGTGCACAGCAGAATCAACATAGTAACATAGTAAAATATTACAGGCCACTTTCAGTGACTATTATGGAAACCACAGAGAAGCTTAACTGTCATGCAGTAAGTGTCTATTCCAGTTTTGTATAGATGTTATTTTTTGAATGACTGCCATAGGACTTTTACAGTAAACTAGTTCCAAGGGTGCATTCCATGCATATCCTTGAAGGGCAAGACATAGGTTAAACAGTCTGAAAACACTCTAGGACTGAGGGAAGACATTTTTCTTCTGTGAAATCATAAACTAAAGGTTGCTGCTATTTCATATAATTACACCCTTATAGTAAACCCTCTGATATATCCTTGCCTATCTAGTTAGCCACTGTTCTGAGACAAGTTGGCAGCCATATATAGGCATTGCAGTCACTGCCTAACCATACAGTAATCAAAGAGCAAAACCTGCACCATTTATTTTTCACAATGTTCACTTCTGATGGCAATGACACCTGAGAATGTGACCTCTAATAAAGCTAGTGCCTCATTGAATTGAAGAGAAAATTGGATACCGGAATTAAAATAATTGAGCAAGGAGGTGGGAAAAGATGATTCTGCAATTTAAATAGCACTAGCTATAAAAATGCTCAAAGCACTGTTTGACTCAATCCAGTATAAAAGCACTGTATGTATTATCACAATACTATGGGAAGTTTGCTGTAAATGTAAGGCATGCTAAAACAAATTATCAACTGGTGCTTTGCTATAATTTTACAATTTGTTTGAATTCTGTTAGTAAGCTGGTCTCCTACAAGTTGTTGTTTGTCAATATTTCAGTTGTGCAGTGGTTGACACATACATACCCAAGGAAAACTACTCAGAAGCTCCATTATTACTTTTTGGCAACAGTCAATACTTTGGCAGCTTAGAATCAGACAGGTGCTCATCCTTATGCAGAAAATCATCTGCACCTTTCTCACACAATGCTGCTTGTTGAAAAGTCCCTTCATAGCAATATGACATTTTATTTCAATTTAACACTGATGGAATCTGAACTGAAAGCTACTCTGGACCAAGATATATTTCCAAAGAAGCCATATGTCTGAAAGTGGAGAATGCTGTTCCTTTTTTTCTCTGTCCTGCAGTTGAATGTATTTGGCATTCCTTCCTCACAGAAGGCTGCTTCAAAGAGCTCCTCTTCTTACTTTCCAAGAGATGCATGCACATTATGGCATCAGTTACTGATAAAACTCAGTAAACCATCTCTCTCCTAGGGAAGCAACATGCTTGGCATAAACATTCACTTAATTGAAAGTGCATCAGTTAGGTGAGTCCGCCTGGGTTCACACACGAGGCTCTATCCTATGAGAAAGCTCAAACAACATCTGCTGGTTATCAATGATGTGCAAGTGATGGACGTACGACTTCAGTTCCTGATGCTCTTTTGCGGGCACTTCGTTTCCTGAAGTTTCAAAAAAAAGAAAAGAAAAGAAAATTAATAAAATAGTAGCAACTTACAGTTTTCACACCTCAGAATATATACCTCAAATGCTAACCACCATAAATTGGAATATTCCTTTCATTTCCAGTGACATTGACTCCTATGTATTATATAAAGTTTATTATGTACTAACTGATATACTCAGAGTTGTCAGGTATGCATTTTCTAATGCTGTTTATTAGAAATACTCGTTGTTAGCTTTATGATTTTACAAGCAGTCCTATTAGGAAATGTATACCGATATAATAGGATCTTTTCTAAAATTGTGTAGGTGATGGATTAAAATTCCCATTAGCCCAAGACATGGTCAAACTGCAACTTCCATCAGCTTGAGATTGGTCAGATAGAACGCCTATCAGTCCTAGATCCGGCCAGCTGCAAATCCAATCAGCCTCAGATCTGGTCAGCTAGAAATAGTCCAGACCCATGGTGTGTGGGATTCACAAAGCTCTCTGTGGATTCCCCAGGATGTTAAGTTGGTCATGATGGGCATGTGTGCCATGTTTGGTCCAGATCTGTTGTTGATGGGTTTCACACAATTATCTGGATGTGGGTGGACTATAAGTCCTATCATCCTCTGTCAATGCCCCTGAACCCCATTAGTATTTTAAGTTGATCAGAGAGATTAAGAGATGTAGTAGTCATGGGNTTAGAGCCTGCCTTCTGAAATGGTAGCCGGCACCCTGCTGTATAAAGTGAGATTGGAAAATGCTTGTGAACAGAATTTCATTTCTGCCTGTAAAAACAATAGTTTATTTTTGAATATGTGTTAGTGGGAAGGTGGAGAAAAGCTTCTTTCCAATACTGAAATCTAGTACTGAAATCTAGGAAGTATGTGGCCGCCATGACTCCTGACATTTGCATAATAGACTGGGTAAGCAGATAGAGACTATAGCAGATGGAGGCAATCTCAGCACTAGCTGAACATAAAAGGCTTCCCTTTGTGAACAGATTTGCTCAGTTCACAATTATCTTTGGATTGACAATGTGGACAAACAAAAGCCAATTGTTATATGGATGTTATGAAGGAAGTAGTATTCTGGCTGCAATCGTAGTAACCCCTGCTGACAAACTGGCAAAACCAGAAACCAAAAAGCCAAGAAGCAATGAAGAGGAGCTTGCTCCTTCTATTATGTGCAGAAGAGGGATTTCCCAGACTGCAAATCATAGTAATAGTTAGGAAGCTTCCTCTGCATAGATGCTGCTGATATCTCTGTAGTGAGAAATAGGAATGGGTACTTACACAGGAAATTCTCTGCCTGGACATTTGGCACTTGATGTCTTCTTAGCACTGTCAACAGGGAAAGAAGGGACAAGTATCTGTCATGGAGACAGAACAGCATTCATGTCCCAATATGTGACATTTCCTGCTTCTAGATGTTATAAAGTAGGCAAGTCAACAGACTGGAAATTTCAATGTAGATTTTCATGCAGGATCCTATTGGACCTACCACGTTGCCCAAATGCCTGCTTACTGTCTCCCAAAGCAGTTACTCTACTCCGAACTCAAGAATGGAGAATGAAATGTTGGAGGACAGGAAAAGAGATTTAAAGATGGGCTCAAAGCCAACCTTAGAAACTGTGGCATAGACACAGAGAACTGGGAAGTCCTGGCCCTTGAGCGCTCTAGCTGGAGGTCAGCTGTGACCAGCAATGCTGTAGAATTTGAAGAAGCACGAATGAAGGGCAAAAGAGAGAAACATGCCAAGAGGAAGGTGCATCAATCCAACCCCGACCGGGACCGCCTACCAGCTGGAACCGATGGCCTCACTGCAGGTCAAGAATAGGACTCCACAGTCACCTACGTATCCACCGCCAGGACACCGCACTTGGAGAACAATCTTACTTGGACAACAGGGATCACCCATTGTATATTGCTAGAAAGTTAATAGGAAGTATAAAAGGAATGCCTTTGAATCCTGATTTCAGTTATGTGAGATTTTATAGTGATGGAAATGCAAGACTATTGAAGGTTGTAGCACTGATAGCTTGGAAGTTACAAGAGCCAGGTAAAGTTGTTAAGCTATTTTCATTGTTAACGGCCACAAGAGCTACAAGCTGGGTAGATGCGGGGAATGCCATGGATGTAGCGTACCTGGATTTCAGTAAGGCCTTCGACAAGGTCCCCCATGACCTTCTGGCAAGGAAACTAGTCCAATGTGGGCTAGGCAAAACTACGGTGAGGTGGATCTGTAATTGGTTAAGTGGACGAACACAGAGAGTGCTCACTAATGCTTCCTCTTCATCTTGGAAAGAAGTGACAAGTGGAGTGCCGCAGGGTTCCGTCCTGGGCCCGGTCCTGTTCAACATCTTTATTAATGACTTAGATGAAGGGCTAGAAGGCATGATCATCAAGTTTGCAGACAACACCAAATTGGGAGGGATAGCCAATAGTCCAGAGGACAGGAGCAGGATTCAGGGCGATCTTGACAGATTAGAGAGATGGGCCAAAACTAAGAAAATGAAGTTCAACAGTGACAAATGTAAGATACTCCACTTTGGCAGAAAAAATGAAATGCAAAGATACAGA